AAGTTCCGGGCCTGCAGGCACGAAAATGTGCAGTTTTGGCATGTTTAGAAGCCTTCGTTCACCGCTCCAGAGCACTCGCTGTTTTACCGCTCGCGCAGGCACAAAGTGTCACAGCAGTCGATCAGCAAGGCGACGAAGAGCTGAAAGCATCCGAAGCGGATGGAGTGACACACCGAAGTGAGCCACTCCAACCCGCTGCTCCAGTAAAAGTCGTCGCAGAGTGCAGTCCAGTCGTCGCTCGACGGGTGGGCGGGAGGGCCAGAAAACTTCGGATCACATTTCGGCATCGAAACATGAAGCGAGCATGTTTAGAAGCCTTCGTTCACCGCTCCAGAGCACTCGCTGTTTTACCGCTCGCGCAGGCACAAAGTGTCACAGCAGTCGATCAGCAAGGCGACGAAGAGCTGAAAGCATCCGAAGCGGATGGAGTGACACACCGAAGTGAGCCACTCCAACCCGCTGCTCCAGTAAAAGTCGTCGCAGAGTGCAGTCCAGCCTTGTGACAGTACCAGCCGTGAAGCAAAAAGCTCGCGGCGCGTTCGCGAACTTGGTGACGGGCCACGGCAGCGAGGTCAACGTCTCGAAGAAGCACACAGAAAAGGAAAAACTTTTGCAGCAGAGTACAACAGATGCCTCGCATCCTCGCCTGCATCGAGGATGCTGTTCAGGGCCGCAACTTCTTGGAGGTAGTGGCCCAAAGTCTGTTGATGTTGCAATCTCATACGCCACTGGATGTCGGAGACCGAGGATCCTCGGTGATAAGCCCACACTACGCCCCCTCCCCTGAGCCCTCTGGGCGTCAGAAGAGAGTGGTTGCTCAAGCCAAACGCCGCAATGAGGAAGTTCCATCTCGCTCGGTACGTAGCGGGCCCAAAGGGGTAAAGCCGGTCCCCGACCTTGAAGGGAGCATAGACCGAGGCGATCATCTGCACAGCCACGTCGTCGTCGACCCGAAGGTGCTGAGAACCTGAGCGCCTCCGCGCGAAGAGCTCTTGGCCTTGTCCAGCTTCAAGAAGACGACTTGCAGTTCGGAGAGGTGGTCCGAAGGCAGCAGAAGGTGGGACCGTTCGCACTTAAGAACTTCACCAATGCGAGCCAGGCCATAGAAGGCGAGCAGGGTAACGCCTGCCCATCTTCTGTAGCCCTTGGCCCAGGCGAGAACAACTAGAGCTTGCACGATGACCTCCGGGATCGGCGTCCTGTGCTGCACGGGTTGCAGCCGTTCCCACCTAGTTGCCAATTCCCAAGCCGGCCCCAGATGGCCGCGGATGCTCCAAGTCAGGCGCTGCGCCGCGAGGATGGCATATCTGTAAGTCTGCAGAGATCCACCGCTACGGTACAGGAAATTTCCATATGATCGCAGAACCATGGCGAGGAGGGCAGGGCAGCTAACGAACGAGTCGACCGGGTCGAACGTGAGGGAGAGGGCGCACCAGGCGAGGAAAGAAGTCCAAGCACGAAGGCCAAGGTGGTGGGAAGTGGAGGAGTACAGAGGCCGGGTCTCCAAGTCCACACGGGGATCCCTCGGCTGGGGCACACGGAGCCCTGGCTTCGAAGCTTCCCCTATCCTGCAGCAATTCGGGAGCTTGGCACAAGCTGAAGGGCAGAGGGGGCGATCGGCGCACCACCCGCAGCGGGAACTGAAGGCCAAGGCTAAGGCGGCATAAAAACCCCGAGGCTTATCCTTAGCAACCGAAGTCCAAGCCCTCCTATGAGCAACCGAAAACCCTATCAAGCGTCGATGGCCAGGTCGATCACACAACAGCCTGGCACCGGCAAGCGACGTGTTAGTGAGGACGCGGGTCCGCTTGCGCCACGGCGCGCCGAATCGGCAGAGGTCGACCCTCCAAGTACAGGCCGCTGAGGGAGGCATGGCATCGGACCAGCCGGGCAGACACCACCACCAGGAGGAGTCAGGGCAGTCGACCCAAAAGGTGAGGCCGAGATCAAGGCAGGCATCTGTCAAACATCGAATCCAAACAGCCCGAGAGTTGTCGCGGATGACCTTGCCGTGAGTGGCTGGAGCGAGGTGGCGGAGGCCGGCCGGCTCAGCAGTGGACCTTGCACGAGGCAGGCAGGCGCGCGACAGCGAGGCTCCGTAGGGGCTCGCGCAAAACCCAAGGAAAGCGCGCGCCTTTAAAAGCCGAAGGAGCTTCCCGCGCAACTCAGAGGTGTCGAGGTCACGCTCGTCGGAGTGCCCACTGCGAAAGCACAACACCCAAGGGCACCCACAAACGATGAGCTCTCTGCCCCCACGGCCGCGCTCGGAGAAAACTTCAAGTGCACCTGGACGGCTGAGGTCAGGAAGGCTGCCACGATGAAGGTAGAGCCGCGCGGAGAACTCGGCAAGGAGCTCGGAAATCTCAGGATCCAAACGGTCCCCGGCACCAGGGAGCTCGGGGCGCTGGTAGCCAAAAACAGCGCGCTCGCGTTCGAAGCGGCGACGGCTCGCGCAGACAAATGGGGCTTTAGAAGCTTCGACTCGGCGAGCATTGGCGCTCTGCAGCACGGAGGCCTCGGCGCCGCCCAAAAGATAAAGAAGATCCTGGTCGAAGTCCTGATCGCCTGGCCCGAAGCCGCTCTGCTTCATGACGCGGTCGAGCTCAGAGGGGTCACCTTCAAGCACGCGGAGCCACCAGCTCGGTAACTCCATTGCCGGGCCTCTGACTGCCAACCCTCTTGTGGGATCGTCGGAGGGGTTCAGCTTGCTGGGAAAGTACAAGGGTGCCGGATAAGACTGAAACCCCAGCACCTCCGGGATCGACCTTGCCAAAAGCTGGTTTAGACGGGGGCTCGCCGACCGTCCCTTTGCAATGCAGCCGATGGTGACCTGACTGTCAATGCCGAACAGCAGCCTGCAACACGGGCGCCGGGAACTGGAGCGCCGCTCTTCCCTAAGGTATGCATCAAGCTCAGCCACATTTATATGCACGCGCGACCTGTACGGTCTGGACCACAGTTCAGTGTACCGAGGACACGCGGCGAGGGCGCAGTACAAAGGCGAAGCGCGGTACCCTTCATCGTCGCCAGGGAGCTCGCTCAATGGCTCAAGGAGATCATGGCTTCGAAGCCACGCGCTCTGCGGAGTGAGGAGCCGAGTCCAGGCGCCTTTCTGGATGCTGTGCCGATAGGCTTCGTCGGCGATCGGCTGGGGCAGCGGCGCCCTAGCTGCGGCTTGGTGGCTGGACGAGGCATCGGTCGCTGTCACGGAAGGGTCGACCTGAGCTCTGAGGTTCACTGCACACAAAGGCCCAAGGAGGGCGAAGCTGGCCAGCTCGGCACGGAGCTCGGGCGACAGCCTCACAATGACATTGGGATCCCCGGCAGCAGCAGCCTGAAAAATGAGCGACATGGCAGACAGGAGTCGTCTCCTCAACACAAAGATTGAGATCCAGCAGCCGGCAAGGGATTCAAGGAGATGCTGCGTGGCGAGGCCCAGCTCAACAGTGCGAAGGGTCACAAGCACAAGAGACCACAGTCGGTGAGCGTTGGGTTTCAGCCAGCCGCTCATCCCGCACACAGTGACGCCCCAGAAGCTGGCTTGGGCCTGCTCTTGAAACACCTTCTTCTCAGAGACCTCGAGAGGGGCCGCGCGGTAAGCCCTAAGGGCAGCATCAAGGCGCTCTTTCCCAACGGAGCGTTTCACACCGGTCTGGTAGGCATGGAGGTCCGAGGTCAG